TATATCTATTTATCTGTGTATATATAAGAAATCAGATGGGACTAATGTTGTACTACTGATTGTAAAGGCTATGTTACTGTTGCTGACATCTAATGATGTCTTCTGATAGCTTCTGGTACAACTCTTCTGGTACAATCCTTCCAAAAGGGGAGAACTGAAACCAGTGGCTCTCTTAACTCGGAGAGCAATGTTTTGTGTTGAGCTGCTACATTGTTTTGAAAGAACAAACAAAATAAGAACATTTTCAATCTGAGTCTCATACATATATAAGCGCATGTGTGAGTAGAAGTGTACTGGGGGGAAGGATGTGTACCTGTATTGACTCCGTGGCTACTTGACTCTTCTGGTTACACAGCTTCCCTCTCAAGGGAAGAAAAAATGCAGCCCAGATCTGGGGAGATGCAGTGGGGCAGACAGTTGAGACAATGAAGCTTGTCATGTAATTTTTAGTGTGCTGCTATATGCAAGTCAAAAGTTATGACCTTTACCAAGCAATCAGAAGTGAAAGACCACATTCCATGTAAAATTCTGGCAATTTGAGTAAGAAGCCTAGCTTAAATAGATTGTCTTAAAAATAGACTGACCTCAGACATTCTTACCAGAGTTCTCAAGCTCTGAGGATTTTCTGATGTTTCTCTTGAGGACAGAACTACAGTTCCTTCTTCTAAGATAACAGAAAATGATCTCCTAGTTATATGTAGACATGAATAAGAATAAATGTGATTGATAGTCTGGAATGCCTGGAATCAAGATTTGTATCTGTGCTGCTGCTTCCTCATCAGGAGAGCACTCCATCTGCAAGAGAAGATTGTAGCAACACCAGGAGTAAAAATGACTGTGACACATGGGCAGGAAACGTGCCTTCCATCTCTTCACAGTTCCAAACTTGTCCTCATTTCCAGGTATCCTAGGGATTCGCCAGCTCACACTGCTTTATTTGGATGGCTATTCAAGCAAACAAAACCCAACAACACGTACCAGAATATCAGATTTCAAGTCTACCTGATTCTACTCAAATACCAAGCAATCCTTAAAAACAAAACAAAAACAACAACAAAAAAAACAACCAAACAAAAAAACCCCACAGATTTACTATAGCGGAATAAGTGTGTGCTTACTTATTGGAGATAGTTGTGGAATAGTAAAGCCAACAGACTGTGCTTTCTGTGCATGTGTGCATGAGTATATACTCTGTGCAAGAGATGCTTGAAATTGTTGTGTAACTGTGATTTAAAGTCTCTTGAGTTGTATTGCAACGCAGGAAGCTGACTCAGCAGCATTTTTTTCGTTGTTTTTAAAGGCTTTTCAGAACAGAAGCCTAAAATTAGGGCAGGAAAGGGGAGCTGAAGTTCTAGTCCAAAGCTTTATGGGCCCGCCTGGGGCATCTGCTTCTCTGAGCCACTCTTTTTCCTTTTGGATCTCCATTTTTCTTCCCACAATATCATGATTTTCAAGCCATCATATTTACTTTTACTTATTTTAGTAGGCTAATCATCAAATCTTGAAAAAGTTAAAAATGCTTTAATAGAACTTTAAAAAAAAAGTAATACATACACATTTAACTTGTAGCTTGTAATAGGTAAAAGCTAACTAGAAACCAAATGTGGCCTGTGAGTAATAGCTATGATAAGAGGTGCCTTATCTCCCCTTTATGACTTCTATTAAGTTTTAAAGCTGGAAGGTGAGTATTCACTGCCATGCAGAAGTATCCTGCTTTTCTAATCAAGTCAGCTAGATATGTTAATGCCAAAAGAGCTGTTCCATCAGTAGGCGTTACTGGTTGATTGTTGTAACTTTTAAAAAAATACTTTTGTTATACATGGTGCAGAGAACTGTGTAGCTGGATTTAACCAGTTCTAGATTTTGGGATTCAAGAGGAAGTCAATACTGATCTAAAAATCCAAGCGTCTCCTAGTGTTGAAACTTTCTACATTCAAAGCTGAATGAAACTGTGCAACTCTCTTCCAACACTCCTGTACTATTCAGCAACAACCCTGAAGCACCTGGTTATTTGAAACTCTTACAGTTGATTAAAGGCATAAAACCTAATCTACTCTTTGAGTTTGTGGGTAATAGCTCTCAACTTTGTGAGAGGTGAAGCACATTTCTACCTTCCTAATTTCTTTTCTTGTTAATACATTGTGGGTTTGTCCAAGGCCAGAAAACAAAAATAAATTCAAACTATCCCTTCTCTCCAAGATTAATTAGTCTCTTTGGTAATGCCTTTGTACTGGTTTATGGAGGAAAATAATGTTTGTTAACCAGTTCTTAGCGTGTTCAAACTTGTGGTGTCAATAAGCACTCTGTTTCTGACAGTGAGACTCATTAATGAAGTGTAGCTGCCTGTGGATGTGCCCTAGTTGCCTTAACTGCATCGCTCTGCTCTCCTAACACTGCTGCTGGGCGAGGCGACACACGCCGGGGCTGGGCGAATTCTGCCTGGTCAGCTCGTCGCTGGTGAGCAGGAGGGTGACTGAGCGGAGACATACGTTAGGCTTTTCTCCAAAGGCACCTTTTCCTTTGTGTCGCCATGCAGCCCTCAAAGCTTCAGGAAACTTGGCCTCGCTTGCAAAATCTCTTCTTTTTGGCCTGAAACGCGCAAACAGGTACAAGAGCTTTTAAGAGTAGATGAAGGGAAGGAGGGCAACTGCCTAAGCCGAAGGTGAAGAAGATCAACTGGCACAGGAGGATTATTCCTCCCTTTGGAACTTTCAGTGTTTTATCCCCAGCAGACTGTAAGCACCTTGAGGAAGGAGGAACTGTTTATGGAAGGAGGATCTGTAGAAACGAAAGTGTGCATTATATCCTAGCATGCCAATGGATAAGGCTTCCCAGACTTTTTTTTCAATGCTTTAGGCACACAGCTGTTGATAGTAGGCAGATAAGTGGGTGGTGAAATTGGTGAAATGCTTTTTTTTTTTTTCCAGTTTTGAAAACCCTCTCATGATGTAATGTTATAAATCAGGCAGCAGTTTCCCTTGGCATAGCTGACATAGCTTCTCAATAGTAAAACTACCACAACTGTGAGGAAAAAGGGCTTTATAAATACTCAGTGGGAGGTCTTCGTGCGAATAGGCAATTTTGTGTATCTAAAAACATAGTCATATTATGGTTTTAGCTCTTTAGATATGAACACACCTTCATTTTCCTCTATTTTCTCTCTGAAAGGAGTGGCTTGTAATTTAGTTTCACTTTTTCTCAGAAGCATGAGCAAAAAGGAGGCTATAAAACCATGGTTTATCAGGAGTATATAGCAGTGTTAGTACATGAAGTAAGAATTTGAATACTTGAATAAATATGGTTTGGACTGGGAAGATGTGAGATAATGTTTTTAACAAGCTAATTTGTTTGTCACTTATTTTGTAATACTCTTAAGTTAGCTACTCCTTGAACAATGCTGGGGACGTTTCCAGAAAGACAAAACAAAACCTGGGTGAAGCTCTAGCCAAAAGGGATCTTGGGTTTCTTCTATCAGTCTTGACAATATCTTATATTGCTTGGTCATACTAACATGTTTAAAATTTTTTTCTGGAATCATAAATTGTTTTCATATGATTGAAGGCTTTCAAGTTTTAATATGATGGAAAAATCCTTTGATTCTCTGCTCCCAAATGACTCCCAAAGTGTTTGTTAACAAGAACTTGTCGTGAGATCTCATTAAATTTTAAATATTTAACTATTAATGTATTTTGATTTTTTTTTCTGTTCGCCCCTGCAGCCTAACTGTGCTGTGGATTGTGATTCAGTTTCACTGACTGTACCTCCTGCTAGTTTCTAGGCTGTCTTCAGCTCTCACAAATCAGGGTTAGCTGTTTCTGAAAGCGCTTTACAACTTCAGCAACTTCCTGTCGTGCAATGCTTGGAACTTGCCTGTTCTTGCCTAGCATCCATATCCTGTCTCACTGTGTGGAATAAGAAGTAAAGAACCTTGATAAAGGTGTATCTGTTGCAAGAGATTTAAAAAAAAAATTCATTTGAGAATTTCATAATGCAGATAGTGTGTTCTTTATTATTGAACATTATGTAAGGTCTGTTGTGCATGAAAAAGCTTAGGCTTCTCCTATAACTTTCCTCCTTGTTCTTGACTAAGAGGCTCAGATTAACAGCAAAACAGATTGTCTTTCTTACTGTGCTGTCTGTTTTCTTTTCCTGCCCCTCTCCACAGGAACAGGAAATACAGTGGTGATAATGGTTGGTTATCCAAAAGGAATAGAAATCCTGGAGCCAGTCCGAAGAGGCATTCCAGTAAAAATGAGCATTGTCGTGGGCACGCGGCACGTGCAGGAATATATCAGCGGTCAGTCGGTTGTGTTTGTGGCCATCGCCTTCATCACCATGATGATTATATCGCTTGCCTGGCTCATATTTTACTATATACAGCGTTTTCTGTATACAGGATCACAATTTGGAAACCAGGTAATTAGAGATGATGACACTTGAAATCATTTTCCTACCTTTGTCTGTTTATTAAAGCATTCCTGAAGATAAATGTTTGCTTGCTACTGCATTAACTATAAGCAGTATTCAGTCATTATTCAGGAAGGCTAATAAGTAGTGTGCTAATCAGTATTCCAAAATTGTCTGAAGTTGTGGGAAATCTATTTAGTCAGTTGTGAACAACTGAATAAAAGCAGCAGCTTGTGTGATTTGTCATCATGGTTAATTTAACTTTAGAAGGAAGGAAGTTATTTTAATTCATAAGTAACTTTCATTCTGGAAGTATTAACTTCACTAACCAGGATGCCCTCTTTTTGTTTATTTGGGAATTACTTTTCAGATTTATAATCTTATCATTCCACCAGTATAGAATCATCATGGTCCATTAAAGGCCATTGGCAATCATGCCATAGTTCTATAATCACAGTCAGGAGGGGAAAAAAAGAAAATTGCACTTGGTGTTCTTTGCCAACAGATTTTTCTTTCTTCTCACCTCAACTTTTGTACACAAAAAAAAAAAAAAAAGTAGTTTCAAGTGACTACTTAATGACTTTCCATGCCTTCTGTTTGGGTATTTAAGTTCTAATTATGAGGGAGAACGAAAAAGATGATAATTCTTGCGCGATTTCGGAAATCTGAGTTCTGATGTAACTTCAGGACTCTTCTAGGGGGGGAAAATATCCTCTTTTCAACAGCTGAGGATAACACCTGGGTCAATACGCCTAGACTTGCAGTCTAGTTAAAGATGCTTGTTTTGGTTCCTTGTGTACTTTTTAGGAATATATTTTAAATCTTAGAATTTAAATATTCTAAAAATATTTTCAAAAAAACTGTGATTTTGGAAATGATTATAGAAAAAAGTGATATTTATATCTGTTATGACAGGTATTTGCTGAAGAAAGTTCCCTTTTCCCATGATTCTAACTTTAGGACAATTTTAAAAAGTGCGAACTCTTTTTATAAAGAGTTTTAAAGAGCACTGTATGGATGAATGGAATATTTACCCCAAAATACTTGTCGCAAACACGCAGATCATTAGCTATTTGGTTTGACTTTTAAGCTGTTTTTTAATTTAAAGAAGTTGCCTAGCATTAGACTATGCCATTCTCCTCTAGTCCCCTCTCTTCTAAAACAGATGTGTGTTTTTTGTTTGTTTGTTTATTTTCATTTTTACACCCTCTAAAAATGCAGTTTTCAACAAGCTAACTTTTTAACCTAGCTTGGACACTCTGATCAACATGTATTATTGGATGTTTAAAATGCGGGTTGGAAAAGGTGGTGGGTTGGTTTTTTTTGTTTGTTTATTTTTGTTTGTTTGTTTGTTTGAAACAAAAAAATCTTGATTTAGCTTGGCAATACGACTGCATAGTAATAAAAATGTGGCCAAAGGTTAATGAAGTTCTGCTTTATGGCAAGCTACTGTATAATGGTAAGAGAAGCTGAAAAAGAGTATCTTATTAGTTGTCCTACTATCAGTTTAGCCCTTAATCTTTGGAAGAGTTCTTTGCTACCAAAAATGAAATAGAACTGTGCTGATATAGAAGGTGAAATGCACTGTTGCTGGTTTAAATCTCTATGCTTTAGTTCTGATATTGTCAATTGGAATTTTTCTTTTTTAAATAATGAAAAATAAGTTTGAAGGATATAAGTCACAATAGTCGTCCTTAAAGAGAAAAGCTGCCATTATTATTATTTTCTGATTTTTTTGAAAGGCATTTCATCAGTGATGTGGGTTGCTGCTAGGCAGATCAATATCTGTTGATTTGGTGTAATTCATTCTTCAAGTTCAAATGGTAGCTAATACTCAATCTTAGAATATAGTACCTCTCCCTTTCTTCTTTCCTTTCTGAGCATAATTAGGACTGTTAATGTATAGCTGTCCGATATGGTGCCTTAGGTCTCTTGAGCCTTTCTTTCTTGCTCTCCCCTTTGCGTAGCGAGTCCTCTCAAAGGAAAGGTTTGTATAATGTCTTATGGAGCCTTCAGCTAAGGGGAAGTATTAATAGCAACAAACAGCCTTCTGACCTTAAGGCTTGATTACTACTACAAGCTGTAGACTCTTTGCTGGAATTCCCCCTTCTCCCAAGCTTGTATCAAATGTGCCAGGGCACTTGATTTTTGCTTTGACTAACTGGAAGGTCTGGTTGATTCAGTTCCAACTGCCTCTAAAGAAAAAGTTAGTTTTAATTTTCTTGGGTGGAAAGTCCCTTAATGCAGGCAATAAGTGTACATGACTGTGTGTCAGCTGTATCTGCATGATTCTGCCTCCAGTTTAGTTCCTCTGTTAAGCAGTGTGTTTATACATAATGTTTATAGATAATGTTTACTAGTGTACCCTAAGAATGCAAAGCATCATGTTCTTCAACATCTGTGTTTTGTAAACATGTGATCTAGCCAAATTGTTCAATTTTCTGGCTGTATTCAGAAGACTTAGTAATCTACAAGGCAAGTGTTTTAAAGCTTTGAAATGTCAGTTTTAAAACTAACCTGTGTACTAATTTTTAAAATTGTCTGGCTTTATTCAAGGGACATAGGAAAGAAACCAAGAAAGCAATCAGCCAGCTTCAGTTGCATACTGTAAAGCGTGGAGACAAGGTAATTCAGTGGCTTTAATTATATTTGAACACTGCTGTAAAGTAGTCCTTGTAGAATTAAAACTAAAATGCTTGCAAGGTTGCCCAGCTGGAGCGTGACCCCTATAACCTCCTTAGCACTTTTGCTTAGGTGGCCAAACTGGGGCTGTTTCTGAAATGTAACGCTGGTTTGTTGCAAATAATGTCTGGTTATGCGGAACATTGCAGGAGGCTGAAAAAGTCTGGCTCTGTAAACATGAGGAAACACCAATATCTTATCAGCACTTACAAGCATCAACAAGTGAATTGCAAAGTCCTTCCTAGTATTTATTGACTGCGCAGTTTTTATAGCTGATGTAATGTTTTGTTTTATTTTCTGATGGAATATCCATAGTTTATATTGATTAGAAGGATTTAGAAGTCTATAAAGCTATGGAAAATACTTGTTTTATCTGTTTTGACATACAATACATTAAGGAGCCATATAGACCTGCTTGAAGCATAAATTAAAATATATTTCAATATTAAAACTTTCTGAAAGTCATATTGATTTTTTTTAATAGATCAAATTGGTGACATATGAAACCTAAACTTATTAAATCTAACCCACTGGCCCTCCTGTCCCAATTTGAGGTATTTGATGAGTGCTCAGTTAACTTTTAAGTTTTCTTTTGAGCCGTAAATCAAGGTAAGAAAGAATGCTGAAGTTTTAAAAACTTTAGAAGGGACTAGGACTGAACCTAAACAATTGTCCTAGGTTGAAGAATACTTCCTAGAATACTTCTTTCATTTATTAAATCAGTTTTAAATTAAAAGAAAAACTGACTTGCCTTTTTCCCCTTATGCATTCAGCATGTTTAAGTAGCCTTTTACAGCTATTTGTTAATCTTTAATTATTTTCTAAATTCCAATTAAGTGTAATACTTGTAAAGCTATGAATAGAGGAATGTTCTTGCTTCTGTGCACCACACTGATGAGCTTAAGAAAGATGGAACTGAACAAAAATATGCATAAAAATGTACCGAAGTATAAAGCGGCATAAGAAGAAACAGGTGTAAATGGGACCTGATGAAATCTGTGATGGGGACCATGAAGAAGCTGTTAACTACTTTTAAGCTGATATTCAGTAAACCTTTAACAAGGATTATGAGGTTGTTTGCAGTGTACCAGATAGTTTCTTCCCATCTACATTAGTCTTAAGGGGGCATTTTTTAGTAGTATATTGGTTGAAACTATGAATACCATGTTCCCTTAGCAAAGTAGAATGAAATTACATTAAAATAAAAAAAAAAGTACATAAAATACAGGTTTTATCCTGATGAATTATGTTTTATTATTTGGTTTGAATCAGCTTGTCATCAGAAATCTTACATAACTTAGTGATGCAAATGTACTTTTGTGAACTGATGTGAGTTCATCTAAAAATGACTTGTCTGCTCCATAAATGTACACTTTTAAATATTTCCTTTCATTCAGTCATAGTTATTGAAAGAGTATATTTCTCTTACTGTGGCACAGGACAATCTTTCATTATTTCACGCAGAGTTGAGGCATTTAACTAAAAATAGGTCAACCTTAAAAAGTGAATTTGCTATCATCTAGATCTTTCCTGAGAAGCTTAAGGGATTATTGTAAAATGGACGCTCATTTGATTATGTGTTACATACGGTATGCTTGGACTTGGCCTCTTGTCCAGAATTAAAAATATTTGCAGTAGAATAAGTGTTTTTTTATTTTCCATCTTTTTGTTGAAACAAATCGTAATTTGACTTGTATAAGAGTTTAAGTCCTTAATTATGTGAGTTGATAGCATGCAAAAAATGCTTTGATCTTGAAAGGTTGCTTGTAGTACTAATTTATGTGAACATTTGCAGTACCGATATTGAAATAGTGCAGTAAGCAGCAAACAAAGTATTTATTCTGTGGGGATAGGGGATGGGTGGACTTGTGCTCTGTTCTTCTAATACTTGTTTTTAATACAACTCAATTAACACTGAATTATTTTCTCCTGCATCAGGATATACCCTTCATATGTAGCCTGTTATGTATGACCTGTCAGGATCTTTTGAAAGAATCAAACTTGGGGTGGGGCGGGGGGGAGAAACAAAAAACTCTGCTTTGACAATATCTTTGTTACGAGGTTGGAGAGGAGTTACAAAATCATGCAAATTCTTTACTTCAGTTCTCCTCTAGCATCCAAAAGCTGTTTCCTAAAATGGGATAGAAGGAGGAAAAATGTGGGGAAAGGAGAGTTTGCAACATTCAGCCCTCAGAACCTCTTCCCACGTCAGCACTCAAGTCCTTGGGACCATCATTTAAGAATTAGATACTTACATCTCTGTGGACCTCTCAAACCTTCTTCATGTTGTATCAATGTTAAACTAAAGTTTTATTGTGCTCACATGAACACAGGCAGTGCTTGTCATTTAACTAGTCGCTTAAGGTGTCACATAGTGGTATACATTAGTAGTTAGAATTTGACTGGTTTTAATCTTTGGAATCGCTTGATCAAATCGCCTCTTGATGGAATCTTGCATTAAGTGAAGCAGCAGTTTATTTGCTAGACCATTCTATAAACACCCTCTTGTGAAGGTATATATGAGATATGCAGCTTGCTATCGTAATGGCATACAGACATAATGCATCTAAATGTGTTGTCATCTTTAGGGGTTAGACGTTGATGTGGAAAACTGTGCTGTATGCATTGAAAACTATAAACTGAAAGATACTGTCCGGATTCTGCCATGCAAGTAAGTTACCAAAGTTGTTCTCTCCCCCTTACTGGCTTTTCCCTTAGTTTCCCTGGAAACTCTCCTGGAGCTTTGGTGGGAGAGCTGTGTGCAGAGCTGAAGCCGTGCCATTTGTACAGCCAGTTATGTACCAAAGGGCTCTGGGAGACTGTGTAGCACTTTGTATGGGTGTACGTAGTAGCAGTTAGCAGTTAATGGTGCAAGTTAGAACTGTAGACTGTTGAACTGCTAGTTCAGTTGGTTTTGTGCTTAGTAACACGTTTCTTAAGGCTAGTGTGAAATTAAGAACTTATGGTTATGCCTGTGCTAGTAAGTTACAAAAGTGCTTAAACACATTCCTGCATGCTGAAATGCTGTTGAATTTTTGTTACATTATCCACTATGCTTTTGCCCATTGGCAGTGCTGTGCTCCCAAACAATTCCTAGGTGTAGCTCAGGCATAAGAACATCCCAGGGACAGCTGTGACATGCAGTTCACATGTCACCATCTGTTTTGGAAGCCGGGTTTGCTAGTGTAAACATGGGTAACTAAAGATGAGAAAAATCCTCAACATTTCAGTGTCTTGAGAATCATAGGAAAGCACCATGATGCGTGTGATGTTACGGACTTTTTGAGCTTTAAAATGGCTGCTCTCATATGTGTAGCAACTGTTTAATCAATTTTTAGAGTTTGGCCACTAAAATACTGGCACTGGCCCTGAAAGGGTAATGCTATAATATGCATATGCATATTGGTTCTGTGTATTAAAGTTCTGAAGAATTATATTTTTCATCTTGTGTCAACTGTTGGAACTTCTGATGGGATATCATTTTTCCTTAATCACTTAGACTGATTGGTTCTGTGTATTAAAGTTCTGAAGTATTATATTTTATATTATATTTTTTTATTATATTTTGCAACTTCTGATGGGATGTCATTTTTCCTTAATCACTTAGACTACAAAATGATGCTTTAAAAATGTTTTCTATATGAGCTGTAGAATAATTATCAAGATTTTGAAGGAATTGGTTTATCTTTTAGTATAAAATCTGTGATGATAATAAGATCTAATGAGTATTTGCTTTTTTTTAGGCATATCTTTCACAGAACATGCATTGACCCTTGGCTTTTGGACCACCGAACCTGTCCGATGTGTAAACTAGATGTTATTAAGGCTTTGGGATACTGGGTAGGTTGCACGGTTATTTTAAGTACAACGTGAGAAACAAGGTTTCACCTGACCGTTCAGGGTATGAGATCAGTTGTTACTTGCCTAGTCTGAGGAAGCTGAGCAAAGATACGAGAGTGATTGAGAGAGAACTGGAAAAACAGGGAATTTTTATGAGTAATAGCTTAAACAGTGTGTTGTACAGTTGGCTAATCCTCCATGCACTCTTCTGTAATAAACACATTTTTTTCTAACTTCAGCTGACAAGAGTAGTGAAATTAATGCAGAAGTGAGGCAATTTGCCCAAGCTGCACAAATCTAGCTTATTTGAGTACATCCAGAATATATGCTGTCTTGCTGGGAGTCCTGATTCAAAGGAAGAAATTAGTGTTTCTAGCGTGTGTTTATGTATGCTTCTACATATGCCAAATGTCTTATCCTTGTAAATGAACCAGTACTCAGAACCCTCCTAAAGACTTTCACCAGGCCTTACACAAATAGAGAAAATGATGTGCTTTCATTTCTTTGACAGCACCAGAAAAGAGAGATGAAGACATATGCGGTAGGTTATTCAGTCGCTGTTGCTCAATAGTCTTGAGTTCCACTAAAATGCCATAGGCGTGAATGTACCTTTTTTCTACTGATCTATAGAGATCTTGAGAAAACAGTGGTACGCTGGGTGCCTTCCCTTCATATGCTACAGGTGCATTTTAACCAGCTCTTTTTCTTATTTGGTGAAAGAGACTTGGCAGACTTTTATCACTCCCCATTTAATTTTTGTCAAAGGTGGCAGTGCTCTTGATACGTAATGTAACGTGTACCAGACTGGTGGTTCTGTACATCAAATCTGACTTCACCCAGGATATGTAATCTTTTTGGTCATGTGGAACAGCTACAGTTACATTAATAGGACTGTACTAGTAGCTTATTTTTGGCTTATTTTCAGTTCTTGGAGTTGACCCGATCTCAGTTGTATGCATAGAGATTTTTGTTGTTGTTGTTCATCTGTTTATGGTCTGAATACTAAAAAAGAAGTCCTACAGAACATAGCTTTTCTTCACTGAATTTGGACTGTTGTAGGGGATGCTGATACCAAGCTTAATGAAGAGTAGTAATATCTGTGCTTTTTAGGAAAGAATAATGTTGGAGGTGGGTCAAAGAGTATGACGTTATATACAGAAGCCCATATTTTTCCTAAGGGAATGAGAGAAATGAGCTTGCTTATAAACATCCAAGCTCCACTGAAATTAGTAACGTGTGAAATGATTCAGTGTTTTATCTAGGTTAGTTCTCAGCTTGATTCAGGTTTTTCAGTCTGGTTCATAGAGTGGTTGTGTGAATGTTTAACTGGCACGAGAAAAGTAAGTGTGAAGAACAAGAGAGCTTCTCTCACTGGAGAGCTCTCCGAGTGACGTGACTGCAGCCCGCAACATGCCGCCTCCTTACTGAAATCTATTGCACCTTCTGTGAAGGCTCTGGAGGCCCAGTTCAATCTTAAGGAATTTACAGACATGTTTATGTCCACACACAGCTCTCAACAAAACCTGGAGATTGTCATGTGTCTTAACTTGTCTTTAAATATAACTCTTCTGTAATTTACTGACTTTCAGCACACTTTAAACTGTGCTGCTTTTATACTAAAGAATAGACCAGCCTAGAAGTTCGTAAGTCTTAGGGAGATGTAGGAGTGTGCTCATTGTATGGAGCAGAGCAGGAGGACTATTAATTAAAAAGCCAGGGGAATAGTTACTTCATACTGCACTATCTACTTGCCTGTGCATAAATAATGCCGTTACATTTATCTCATTACATTAATGGCAATGAGCTCTTGAAGGAGGTCTGTTTAATATTAGGAACAGACAGTACATGTGAGACTTCTCCAATTCCTTCTGAGAGCTGGTTTTAGTAAAGCAAATCACACTAGATATAGCTGAAATAAATCACTTTGTGTTGAATATGTTTTATTCTAGTAAACTGAGAAGCTGGCATCTACATCTTTTGGAAGGGTTTAGGATAGGCTATAGTGGAGGGGGGGGGTTTGTTCTAATATCAAAAGTTTGCTTGCCTCAGTAAAAATAATAAAATCATTGCAAGCCTCCCAACCTACCATCATGAAGAAGAGCAGTTTCAAAAACTCAGTAGAACTTTGTAAAGAGTTAGTAGACCTTGCGTGGGCTCAGCATGCTCCTAGCCAGGCTGCAGCAGTACAGGTGCTAACAAGCATTGGGCTGCTCTATCCTGAAGGCTAGCTCAGTGAACTGCTGCAGTTGCTGTTCTTGCTTTATTGATTTTTGAGTCAGATGTTAAAACTGAGAGTGGATACTGCTCAATTCTGTCTCCATGAGTGTGGAAAAAGGGGCAAAATGATCCTTTCCCCAGTAGGGTCAGATTTCAAAGTGCTGTAATGGAAGATTGTTGATTCCTGCCGGTGGAGCCAAGTGTCAGCCAATGTACTTCATTTTGAAGGGGGACCCGGAAGACACGCTCGACGTCCCGATACCTGAATCAATAAGTGGCAGCGTTTCGGTGGGAAGTCTGAGTATTGCTTTACAAGAAGATGAGCGAAATGAAGTAAGCGAATTGTCGGCTTCCTCCACTAATGAATCTGTATTGCAATGTACCAGTTTGAAAGAGGATGCAGGTGAAACCACAGCATTACTCGGTAAGTAATAATGTAGTCTATCACTTGACAAGCCTTAATGCCACTAATTGGGTTAGAGGAAGCCTTTCCAAAGTGTTTTTAATAGTCATAATGCTGCCAGATTGAATGGTGTTGCTACTGGTATTCAAAAATAATACATAGGCACATTCTGAGAGACTCCCACCAAGCAGGAGAAGATTTGACTTGAGAGAAGCGGGGGGGGGAAAAAAAAAGATGTAAACAATGTTTTGGAAGGATTAGTCACCTAGAAGAGAACCTTAGATATATCTGAGCATGGCTTTTTTTTCTTTTTTTCTTTTTTTTGGAGATGAAATAACAGATAAAGTGTAATAAAATGGTAACTCAACAATTTATCTTCTAATTCCTGATTCCTAGATGTGGATGTCAGTAATAACCGGCATGGAGAACATCTGACTACTGGAAATACCCATTGAACTGCTTCATGGAAGATATCTTGAACAGACTGTTAAAGAACTATTATTTTTTATTTAATTAGTACGGACTTTTGTCTAGTTAATGGAAAATAACAATGATGTAAATTATTTTACCTTTCAAACTTTTCTAGCTGTTGTTCCAAAAGGGCTAATAACTTAGAATTTTGTACAAAAGAGGATTTTATAAAATCTCCTCTGGATGGCTCATCCTAAAAAAAAAAAAAAAAAAAAAGATGCAATAACCCTTTTTCTGTAAGCATTATTACAGTGTCATTGTGTTCCAGAGGGCTGTAACAAAGAGGAAGACTAGGGCAGTGAAAACAATGTAGAATGGCCAATGGTAAATATTTTGGATGCACTATTTACATTGAGTACCTACACACAGAGAACACTTACAAGACTACAGCTATTAAAATGATCTGAAAGCTCTGATCTATTGCAATTGGAGACAGATGCTCTCAGAGAGGAAAAAAAAACAGATTATTTGAAGAAATCAAATAACTCATGGATATGCTACATATCCTTTTTCAAAACGAAAAAGTAATAGTTACAAATTTCCTTATATGTAATAAATACTGATTTGATCTTGTAATGTGTTCCACTCGGAGTGGATGCTGAGAGAAAAGGAGGCTTTCTCCAGCTCACTAGTTTTTTATACTGAATTTGGCAGTAATAGGTTGTGCTAGGGGGTCTTAACGTGCTGAGCATGTAGACTTATTTAGGTATATGCACACTGGTTACCTCTTTCAATCTTAAACTCAGTAGAACAGAGGTAAAGGGCTAATTATGGCTAAAAATATATTTATTAGTCTATTTATAAGATTTTATTGAACTCCTTGCTCCTGCTCCAATCCTGTCCCATTTCCTTATGTATAAGCTGGAATCATTTCTTAAGATCTTCTATGAAGCTTATTTTTTGGCTATAGATGCTAGAATTCTTTTCTTGGTGGTTCCATATTAGGACTTTTGACTGGGTTTATCATTAGCTTTTATTCATTTCTTTTGGATTAGAAGTATTGTGCCTTATAGTGAAACATTTATTAAACCTGAAGCATCTGAGAGTAAATATAAACCCAGACATCTCCCATTAGGACCTCTTATTCAAATATTTATATACTGTAAGTGGTATAAGGAATTGCTAAACTGTTTTGTAAAGAGATATGTGTATTTAAAACACTACTTACCAAGAATGCTAAATGAATTGTTTAGGACTTTAGTATTGTCATGTTATAAATGTGCTACATTCCTCTTTTTTTTTTTTTTTTTTTTTTAAAGCTGTTAATTGCTGGTTGTTTAAAACAGTGTCTCTTACTAGACACTTGTTTTAGAGTGCATTTTGTTTCTTAGATGTATATTTGGAATGTTTTTAAGGAAAATATGCAATTCTTTTTCTAACTTATATTAAGCTTCAGTAGAAGCAATAACTTTTTTTAATTTTAGAATGAATGTTCCAGAAATGACAGAGGTTTCAGCTGGGGAAAAAAGAATTTGAATTTGTATTTTGCAGAGCAGATGTTTCATCCTGAATTTTCTTCAAAATATTCTTATTAATGTCTACTTAAAATCTGGAAAATTATCAGGTGGTGGTTTTTTGATGTCACCAGCAGGTGAAAGTTTTTGTGATGCCTTTATCTTATGAGAAGCACATGAGAATGGAATGTGACTGACCAACCATGTCCAAAACTAAACAAAACCCAAACCCACAACTAAACCAATGCATTAGGGACCTGTATGTCTCCAAAAGCAGCTTATCAATATTTCCAGAAACTGCCTTTTTAACTCGTTCTTCAATATGAAAATTAAGTCTTCTCCCTCTTCCTTAACACAAAACTGAACATTGATAACAGTACATATTGAGAGGTTTTAAACTCTAGCTCAATGAGGAATCAAAAGGAGTTATCAAGAGAAGCCTTGTCGATGTGTGAATCATGACTTGCTGACACCTGCACCACAGTATTCATGCTGGAGGGAAGAAATGTGGTAAGTGCTTCACCTTTTACTTGTAAAAATAAACTCTTTTTGGAATCCAAGCTGCAAGCTGACGGAAATTGGGAAGCAAAGTTATAAAATCCGAAGTGTAAGTAATGCTTAGTACTGCTGATTTAAAAAAAAATGCCCTAGTATGAAATTGCTGAAGTGTATTTTTAATGATGACACTGCTTATTTCCCCCCAAACTTGCGAAGAGGAGGAGCTGCTTTTCCAGTTGAGCTGCTCCGCAGACCCAGGCAGGGCTCGTACGAGTGGCCGCGCTGCTGAGGAATGATGACAGTAAAAGGCCGAATTGCAGTGCTCCCCGAAGCAGGTTGCTCTCCTTGGAGCACCATGACAAAGTCTCCTGAAGCGAATCATTAGTCTGACCTCAGTGAAATGGCCACATGCCTTAGCCAAGGAAAGGGGTAGGAAAAAGTATCTATGGGAAAAGACAGAAAATCTATGGCACCCCACAGAGTAACACGGGATGACTGGAAGCATGCAAGATATCCTGTACTATTACAGCACCACCAGAAAACTTCTGGAGTAAATGGCTGTAAGCAGCTGTCGGTTCCCAGATCTTGCTGATCTGCACCTGTTATGTTGGATCAAACTAGCATTTCTATCTACTAGCACTTTTATAATTCCCAAAGATTTGTGTGAGGATCAGAACTAATGAGGCTTTTTCTCCTGTGAATACTTTCCCTGCTTGAAGAATCTCTAAATGTTCTGCTTAGGTTATCTGCTGCCTAATGGGGGTGTTTGTGCTGTCTCCTCACCTTATCTTGGGATCTTTCCTCACTTCCTATCTGTGTGTTTTTCATAAAAAATGCAGGGACTTGTTGAAGTCAGCTAGAAGGGTGCTTGCTAGGGCCATAAAGCACAAGCACAGCGCCAGCTCCAAGGGGACACCCAGCCCGCCCCTAAGCTGCCCCTAGAGGCTATTGAAACTGCAACTCAGAAAGGGGCAGAATCACTGAAAACAAAGGCAATGCCTCAAAATATTATATTGCAGAAAATGGATCACATCAGTCAAATCTTGCAAGACTTGCATGTATATTAAAAACTAGTACTTAACATGACCAAAAGCATGTAGTACCTGCTAATTTGTGCCTTCTCTTGCAATATAAAATGAATGCCTCAAGTTGCCAGAAATCTGCTTTCCGTCCTTTGCCCAATTCACTGGCAATGGCTTGGAGAAAAACCAAACCACTACTAGAGCTGGGAAGTGTCTAATGAGAACAAATTCAGCAGGCTGACCTGAAATGCACAACAGCAGATATATTACAGTGGGAGCAGAGCAGGAGGAGGAGGCACAAGGGCCCTTTTGCTTCGTGTCCCTGGGGTGGGGAATTCCAGGCTGCCAAGGAATAAGCCTTGAAGGGCCAACCAGCAGCACTCGATTGTGCAGCAGTAACTTATGTTGAGTAAGTCAGCTGGGCAAATAAAGTTCAAGAGCTTTAAAAGAAGCTATAACTATCTTGAGCGCTTTCCTAGCTTTGTGAAACACGCTGAGTTTTTGCCGCCCCTGGATTTCAGAGCGCTCATCCTGAGTTTCGGCCGAGCCTGTCAGGCTTTCACTGAAACTGCCTCAGCAGCAGCTGTGGAGCGGTTATTCTCCCACCTCCTGTGCCTCCTGATTTGGAGAAATTTACACGTAGCAAAACCTCTGACTGTAGACGGTCTCTTTCTCAGTCAGAAGCCCAAGTTATTGGTGTTACATTATGGTAGCAACAGTAGGACAAGAGGGGGGGATGATGATTTAGCTACTTCGCCCTCCCCTAAAAGCAAACTTCTTACAACTCCAAACAAGTCTAAACATGTAATTACTATTAGCAAAGGCAATTAGTGCTTTGAAATACACAGCAGTTTAAAAATGGCATTTTGAATTGTCTAAACATGTAATTACTATTAGCAAAAGCAATTAGTGCTTTGAAATACACAGACAGCAGTTTTAAAATGGCATTTTGAATCTGTGGATTTTTTTTCAGTTGTTGCCAAAGCTGTAAATATGTAACAAAGGTACATCTTTGTTACAGTGGACACTTACACCACATCCACAACCCTGTGTTCGGCAAAACTGAGAGCATTTGCTCAGAAAAGCCTTGGGGGCTCTGTATGAAGGCAGTAGTTATTGTGCAGATTGGTTTTATTTTACCTCTATATTTCTGACAGAGTGGAGAGGTTGCATGGGTAATCTTTCATTAGATGAATTTTCAACATTTGGTGCAGGCCTGTGGTGTTTCTGTGCTAGACCGAGATACTGAGGTCAACAGGAACGTACTGATGCGGCAGCTCTACAGAGGAACTCTTATTTATTTATTTTTAAGGAAAAACAAAAACCAGCAGGCAGTATCATGCCAGGTTAACCTCAAGGGAATGAAACTGCTGATGTCTGTGTGCTGGCAGCCCGACAGGACTGTTCCATCCTGCTCGGGCCACAGGCAGGGGGAGGCTTCCCAAAACGCCTCGAGCCGCTTCAGCAGTTCCCCTCACGGGAGGGAGAGCGTGGGGGGCTGTTTCTCTGCTCTGTGCTCGCTGTTGGCTTTGTGCAGGCCCCTGCGTTCAGATGAAGAGGATGTGCTAGGTTAGCTTGACTGCAAGAGCAGAAAACAAACTTAGATCTTATTTATTTATTTATTTATTGCCACGTAGGGAGTTGAATGATCCTACTGTGTAAGCAGGTGAGTGTTAAAGATGGGCCAGGGGAATGAGGAGTTGGGGATGGAAAACCTTCCCCTTTGAGCTGCTGAGATGTGGTTTTATAATAGGGCTGTGATGAAGAATTGCGCTTGAAACGGTGCAATTCCAGGACAGCAGCTGCGCTGTGAGAGTTGTGTTTTGTGCCTTCGATACTGCCCTTTCTTCACTGGGTGTTCTCTTTTCTCACAGGTGAAATGTGAAGATTCGGGAACTGAAATGGCAGATTCCCAAACCAAGCTGAAGGCTTCTGTTCTTGTTCAGTATAGGGCCTGATCTCTCTCCTCAGATACCCTGCTGTATTGCAAAACTTGATTTGAGAAAGTTTAAAAAGTAGAATGTCTTTATAACTGCATGTGTTTGTGTGAGGAATGCATTGCCTGGAAATTGTCCATTTATACTTCCATGGGACCCTGAGGCTGGTTTTCACCACCTGAAACATGGTACTGAACGTGCACTTCTAAACGAAAAGAAAAATAATTTGAGCTTCCATCTTTTCATTAGTCTGAAACTTAAGTCCAAAACGTGGGCTTCAGTTACTTCTACAAAAATGTCTGCACATAACCCTCCCAACTTGCTTGTCTCGCTGTCAACTACTACTCACATCAGCTCTTCTACAGTAACCTCGTATGCCCTTGGTTGCATTGATTGGATCAAGCACCAAACTCCTTCTCCATTGTGTATGTAAACTGTAAGGATGTTGAGTTCTGCATCGTTGATGTAACTTAAAAGCTAATGGCTGAGAGCTCAAATTCCATAATAAATTATAGACCTTTTAAAATAAAAAAGCACGACTTGCTTTCTTCAGTACATTTTTGGGAGTGGATGCAAGACTTCAGCTAACATAGCACAGACCAAACTTAGCTTTGGGCTGGGGCATTAGCTTTGTCCAAGGAGAAGTTCACATCCTTTCTGCCTGCTGCATTTTTCTTCTGTGCAACCTCCTAACAAGAAACAATGGCAGAAAATAACAGCAAAATCAGTAACAGCTTCCACAGTTTTCATCAATCCACAGAAGTTTGAGATGATGGAGGTTCTGCCACCTTCCTGAGCATAGGATTACACTGCAGAAGTTCCCTTGCTCAATCCTAAGGCTGAGGACTGAGCACTGATGACTTTGTAACTACAGGACTAACCCCTGCATAGGGGACTGATGCAGGGTGACAGAATTGAAGCAAGGAGTCTTAAGAGCCAGAACAGGCTTTTGCTGTAGCGCAGAAGCTTTCTGCAGCTTGTAAGCAAGCTACATTTTTCTTAAGTCCTAAATACCCTTGAAGTATTTATGTAAATCAGTAACAAATCAAACTTGCAGACCAACTAATAGAGCAGGAATCAATATTGTGATGGAGTCTATTACTGTGTTTAAAGCTATAAGCTCCAAAAAGAAGCCTAAATGCTCCATAAAGGATTGTTTTTAACCGCTAATAGAAGATGAATCCTATCATAGCAGTCAACTCCTGAGCTTTAATGACTTCGAGTAATTCAAGTAACCTAAAACACCAGGTTACAAAGTTAAGAGCTCTTTTGACTCTTGCTGTTACTGCTAATTTATAGCAAACTTACCTAGTTTAAAAAGGTGCTTCTAAAATTGAAGCAGAGTTAAAATAAATGGGACTTTAGTAAACTTAGAACACTGCAACTGGGGGTAAGCTGTGTTGGTCTAAACCTAAGACCTGGGGAACTCTTCTCACAGGACTTTTTATGCACCCTAATCTCCTGGTGAAGTGAGAGATTAAGATTTTCTATCATCAGCCATTTATCCACTTAAATTACTTGTAAAGATAAAGCCAAGAGAAAGTCTTGATCTTGCATTATTGATCTTGAACTTCATGAAAATTTGAAAAGCAGATGCAAACTTGCAGCAGTTACTTCTCAATCACCATTAAGCAGAGAAGTAGCTCTTCAAGATAAGTTATTTTGCTTTTAAATTTCAGGGCTTAAACACTAGCACTCATTCTGCTATCAATGTGAGATAATATTTTACTCCCCTCTCCTCAGCACTTGCATTCTGACATATGAATGACACTCTCAACTATATGCTTTAAAAAAAGAGGCAGAGGAGGCCTTAGCTTCTTCCAGCCAGCCATCAGACCTTCCTTACTCCCTAAAAACCATATGCAGCGCTAGGGGCTGCATTTTCAAGTGCTCATAAAGGGAGGGTACTGAAAGGCCCCAGGCACTGACAATTACTTATCCTGACCGAAGCTGAGTTAAGCTCTTCAGAAACTGCTTTGGGCACAGTGATGAGGCCAGGTAAATTTGGGTGGTTACATCTTCCTGGGGCAGTGGAGCCTGTCAAGCACATTATGACTACAGATTCAGCGGTACATGTCCTTCACCACTTCAAGCATATATATCAGAAAAAAAGCAATATTTATTGTTTAAATGCATAAAATGCTATTTATAGTGTAATAAATCATTTAATCCCATGATTTAAGCTTAAAATGTACAATAAATTGGTTTCCAAAGTTGATTTTCTTTCCATGTGCAAGGTGGGTTTTATTTTGAAGCTTTTGCCTCTGATGGATTTTCCCCGGTATCTAGTGTCTTCAGCAACCTGAAGAGGCCGGCTGCTTCTCGTATCCGACTGAACTCGATACAGAATGCTTGCACTTCTATAAACAAGTCCTGTACATTAATTATTTTGTTTCGGATTAAAGACTGCAGAAAGACACAGACAAGACGTACCAGGCGGTTCTGAAAGAGAAAAGATGCAGTTTCACCTTCCAAGGAAGCGCTTGTAAACAGCTCGGTTGATAAAGGGCTGTGCCTCTCGCCTCAACAGGACTTACTGCAGGACCAGTTGCCTCCAGCAGAAATCATCTTCAGGACTTTTATACTGCCCCTACTCTACCTCCCATGCTACTTCTACTTCAAAACACACTCCTCTGCTTTGTAATGTTGTAGTTCATGGTAAAGGAGCTTTCTCTTAAAATTGACCTCCTGCATAAGTGAAATACCAGACTGACACAGTCACTGCTCTTCATTTGTTATGCCAGGAGCTGCACACTCAAAACCAAAGAACTGGCCCCAGCCCTTCGCCATACGCAGATTCAGGCACCACCTCTGTGCTTGGGTGCATTTTTTTTTTCCTCTTGCTATAACTACTGATAAAATAACTTTATATTTTGCATTGTGAAAGAGTTGAACCCAATTTTTTCTCTAAAAAACAGTCATATACATAAACAATGTCTCAGACTAAACTGACTGGACTTAATTGTAAAGTTCAAAATATTCTACATTATTTTAAACTAAAACTGTAAAGGAGAAAAGTAACCAACCACTTTTACAAGGATTGAGGTTACTAGTGCAAGATTTGCTACCTATGCTGAGGGACTGCAAAAAAAAAAAAATGAGCAAGTTACTTCCTTCACTGCAGTCAAAAAGGCATCCCAGGTTCTTTTTCCACCACATGAACTGGCAAGAAAAGTAACTTGAATACTTTGAGCGTTCACAGCTCCGAACAAAAGTACAAGTGCAAGTCGCTGCTGACTCCCAGCCATCCATGAGCAGTGCTTTCCGTGCAGGGCCTCTCAAACAAGAGACCTCGTGTCCCATCTGCTATGGGCCTCCCAGCGCCCGCCCTCTCCCGCAGCCCCTGGAGCAGAGGGTTCGCTGTGGGGCACGTGCCCAGGGGCAGCCCAGCCCCACGGCTGTTCCTCCTGCTCTGGCAGCAAGTGAATCGGCACCGCTATCGATCCGAGCCCCCCTGCGCCTCTGGCAGCGCCCCAGCGCAGAGAGGCATCAGCTCAAGCGCGCAGCAGCCACCAGGAGAGTCACCAGGAGCGGCACCGAGAACAAGACGGAGGTTTGCTGCTGCCTGAAACCACCCCGCGCCCCGAGCTCGAGGGCCGCATGCAGATTTGGTCTCTGCAGCTTAAGGAAAAGTAGAGTTAGAGAAGGACAACAGAAAAATCTCAAGGGGAAGGAATATCTGCCACAAGATGCTAAGGAGGCTGTGACCCTTCAGTATGGCAGCCTGGAGAGGAACTGATCAAAGTTCACAAAGCCTTGGGCAAACCAAGCGTGGAACTGTCTTCCATGAGATCCTGGAAGAAAGGGCATACCGGGCACTGCGTGAAAGTAAGGATCAGTTTAACACGGAAGGATGCATCTCACCCAGCATGCAGAGAACCCTGTGCCATTGCCATGCAGATCTCCTCGGGTAGGTAAAGATCCCTGCAGTGGGCACAGCTCGCATGCCAGTATTAAGGAAGACAGGCAGGCTTGGGAAGCAGCGGGAATGGTGGTAGGGCAGTAGGACAGGAAGGGTTTTAAGCCTTTGAGGAGTTCTGCAAGCTGCTGGGGGTCAGTAATAGCCATCACTGACAGGGGGAAAAATCCACGGGAATTTTCTAAGAGTTTCAAAGGTCCAGAAGTGGTGGGCACACTTTGACACAAAAGGAACTGGAAGCTTGAAAATAAGCAAAAACGGGAACCATCTGATGCTGGGACACAAGGAAAAGACACACCGAGTAACAGATTAACATCCTGCATGCAAGAATACAAGCCGCACAAAACTGCAGTTTGGCCAGGGAAAAGTATATGATGTTTACAGGAGGGGAGGAGGAGAAAAAACACACACCACCACCACCACCCTGACATCTTTTAAAAAAAGTGCATGATAAACACTATGGAAAACCATGCACTTCATTAGCAGAAAAAAGAATAGCCTTTGAAATAAAGAAGCACTAAAGCAGAATAATATAATGGTATCAGCCTTATAAAGTCTCAGCACATACTACACAATAAGGGATGGGAGCCTTTTTCACAACCAATTTACTATGAAATACTCACCTGCATATATTTGTCTTTAATCTGTTCACAGGTTGAGATACAGTTAGAGATGTAGAGATGAATAAATTCAGGAGGGAGATCAACTGCAGTAGTAAGTCTGTTCAAATGAAAAATATCCAGCGATTTATGAAGCCAGAAATCTTAGTTATTCGATTTCAAGTCAGATGAACTGCAGACCTGTAACTTCGATTCCTGAAACTTGTCATACGGAACTATTTTCTGACAGTTTCCACAGACATGTTTATAGACATGTTACTCATTTTTTTGAGACTAGGCACAGTAGAGAAGATAAGTTGATTTGGTTTCTAACATACTTAGCACAGCGCTGAATTCTACTTCACAAAGACTTGCTATACATTACATAAAGAGGCCAGTGATACTCATTCCAAATTTAGAAGGAACTGACTGAACAGCACTTGTCTGAGCACCAGGATTGTGTTAAGTATTCGCTGCAGCAGAATTCTGCAATTTCATATTTGAGTCTCAAATACCTACTGTAGATGCCGAGCTCCCTCCCAAAGTACATAGTCAGAATAAACTCTTGGTTCCTTCAAAAGAGTTCAGTTCTTTCAGACTTCCAGACTTCAACTATCCACCCACACCTCACTTTATGGATTCAAACTAGACCAGAAGAGGAGTCGTTTTTGTTTAGCTACAGAATGAGAAACCACCTATGAAGCAAATACAGCCTTTGCAAGAGAAAATGCTTACATAGCCCAACGGTTGCAGAAATCCATAAATTCGTCCTGTAGAGATCAGTATTGGATCTGAAGACACTATGTTTTAGTCTTAGTATAAGAGGGAATACAAAACCAAACAAAAAACCCCACGAAGAACATAGAGAAATTGAAAGGGAAATGACTGCCTGATACTCTCTCTTCCTTCAGTGCAAGCTGACCAGTCATTTCCTCAATTCCTGTTTCTTTTAAGTCTATGAAGCTAATCCAAACAGAGCCCTGTGACCAGTGTCGCAGTCACATTTTACATACTTAAGAAAACTTCCTTAAATTGGAGACACTACTTACCGATTTACCACTTCCATCGAATGTAAAGACATGTCCATGTTGACCAGGACAGAGAAATACTCTGTTATCTGGCTTGACTGCATCAATTTGAGCAGCATTTCTATAGCTACTAAAGGATTGTTTTCAACAAGGTCAGGCAACTTGGCAGGAGTGAGACCAATGTGATAAACAAGCTTGGGGTCCTTCTCCAGTTCTCCAAGGAGCTATAAAGAAAGAAGAGACTCTTAAGTTCTAGTAACCAACTGCAAACAAGCTGCTCATCTAAAACGCAATCTGGACTTCAATGATTCATTTCTTAGCCTCCACTGCCTTGAAAATAAATACCAGAAGAAACGTTCCATTTCACAAGCAAAAAGACTCATACTCATTACACTCAAATTTAACAATCTAAGGGTAAGGCATTTACTTTAAGCTTTTAATCTAGAGTAACTCTGCTCTGTGGAGATGGCAAATTGTTGTACCCTACAACACAAGTCACTGACCGACTGTCTCACTGCATTTGCAGTAGCAGAAATACTGAGCAGGTCAGCCTATTTGGAGATAAGGTGTACCATGAATAGGTGACTTTTTCTAAACTATTCATATTGCTGTTTGAAATAGCAGCTATAATCCACCTGGAGTTACAGGAGAATGATCATCATTTAGATTTAGATACCTCTGTTAAATGTCCCTGTAGACGCATCTTCAATATTCCTATTTAAGGACACCTATGCCTTTAAAAGGCTTTTATCAGGGAACAGCAAGGAGGAGAGGAAAAAAAGAAAACAAATAACCCCCCCACATAAAGGCTCATCCTTCGTTAGTTTTCTATTTAGCAGAAAAACAAACTCAGTTTCAAGTTCTCTGTTGGCAGAAGTAGTTCTACAAATGACAGACACACGAATAACAAAAGCCCAAAGAACTCAGGGCTAATATTACCAAATATTAGAAGATGGCACATTTCTGAACTAATTTCTTATCAAAAGCATCCACTGAAGCACAAACAAGTTTGGTCCAAGGAGATTTTCCAACCAGAGAAATCCTTGTGCCAATTAGTGATTAGCTTTAACCATGTCTAGTCAATGCTAGGAAGTACAAAGATTTTTGCCTTATCTACACAAAGCCAGGTCAAAATTTTGGGCCTTTGACAATTGAAAGTATTTGAAGTTTTCCAAATAATCAGAAAATAGATCTGAATTCAGTTAAAATGACCCAAGTCTTCTAAAAATACATGCAACTTAAGCAGAAAACCGCAAAAACATCACGCTTGCCTGTGTTTGTTGTGAGGAGCTTAAAGGACTTTTGAAGGCTTTGGCCATGATTCGCTTTATCTCTACTCCAGTGCTGTTTTTAACACACATTGACTTATCCCACTGAATTGTGTGATCTGGTTCTATTGGATTTAACCAGGCCAGTTCATCCTCGCATATGTGGAGCGGAGGCGGTGGTCGAATAAACTCTGGTCGAAAGTGACCTGAAAAGGCAACACCATGAAGTTTCAGACCTTCAAAGTACTTTGGATTACATGACGTTTGATCTGGAGGAGCACAGTAACGCAGCATGGCAGGAGTCACAGAAACAGAGATGTGGAAAAGCACCTACTTTCTATAGGAGGCTTCGGTCCACTCACTAAGGCTTCAGTGATCTGGGAGGCAACGGAGCTGTCGAAACCGGAGTTGGAGGAATCTGGGTCAGGATCGCTGAGGATGCTGGGGAAACTGGCCTTGCTCTGCGTTGGCAGCTCGGACTGACGCTCTGAAAGAAGGTCAGCCCGCAACATTAAAGCAAAAAAATTGAAGCAGAGGTGTCTAGAATAATAACAGTGCCAAGAAACATTCAGCTTTAGAGAACTGGCTTAGAAACAGGTAGTAATGTGAAATTTAGTACCACGTCAGGCAGTTAATTCTTAGCGTGCCAGCAAGGATAAAGTAGAAACACAAATGAATCTGAAGTGTAGTCTTGGCTTTTGTAAATAAAAAAGGGAGGCTGATTTAATCTGCTTCTAAGAAGTCTAAGAAAACAAACACGGAGTAGTTTCAGACACTCCTGAGAGAGTTCACATACCACCTCACATTTTACAATCACTTTTCAGGGCAGGAAAGTGAAAGACCTACACAGACACATCCCCAATGTTTACAGTGACCATCCTATTATGACAAGGGCCATCCTATTATTCTACTCAGCTATTCACACTCACTCAGAACACTTCAGTGCTGAGGCATAAGCTACTCTTGCGTTTGCTGCTACAGCAACTGCCTGCAAGAATGAGCCAGAGCTGTTACAAAATTCTACATCACTGTAAAAGCAGTGATGAGAGAACTAAGCAGTGTCTCTTTAGGCAAATTATGTTTTTTACTTTGCCCTTAAAAAAAAAAAATCACTAATCACACTATCTAGTACAGAGTGCTTAACACATAGGAAAAAAGAGCCAGTTTTTGAACATGAAAATGAACAAAACCAGGATCGATCTTTACATTTCTAGATTAAGTGTTTAATTTCCATCACACTATCACACTATCTAGTACAGAGTGCTTAAGACATAGGAAAAAAGAGACAGTTTTTGAACAAGAAAATGAACAAAACCAGGCTCGATCTTTACATTTCTAGATTAAGTGCTTAATTTCTATCACACTATCACTCACTTGTACCTGAGGACTCAGTGGCTGACCCTCCTTATTCTCTGTACCAAGAGACAATGTTTTCCATTACTGGGACACACTGCTTCAAGCTTTGCCAATCTTGCTGCATACAACCGCATGCATAAACACACTTTTCTCCACTGCAACACCAGACTAAACCTTGGGTAAATTCCAAAATTGTTGGTCCCACTCAGTTTAGCTTTTAGCTCAAAGAATCCCTTGAAAAAGTTCCATGTAAAACTGAACACTACTGAACACTATTTTTTTTTTTTGTGACCAACACAGTGCTGCCAGGTTCTGTGAACTGCCCTTACTTATATGAAGTACAGCTCAAATATGGTGTTGCCCCCCACTTTGGGCTATCACAGGACCCTTCATGACTGCCCATGCACAAGGGCTCCACCTTGTATGACACCAGCCAAAGGCTGGAGGGACGCTGCCAGTGTCTCTCATGTCTCTCCTGTCACTCTGATGTCATCACTTCAGAAGTCATCAAAACAAAGCACTGCATGTTACTGGTTTCTTTTTTGGCTCCATGTCCCGCTTTACCCAATTATTTTAGATCCTGGAAATACTTCAATAAATGCTCACTGAAGTAGCACAGCTGGATTCTGTTTTTCTGTTAAAGACAAGCATTATAATTTGTAGCTATATTCACAGAAAAAAGTGATTTTGAACTCTAAGACCAAATGAACTGGTTTATGAATCCTTTCTTCCACTTTACAAACTGCTGCAGTCTCACTCAGCCATTGAACATAATGGTTGATTTAAGAAAAAAAAACTTTCTAGGGGTAAAGGAAAAAAAGAAGATCATTGGAGTTTTTCCGTCTTGTAATTTTTAGCATAAAATTTAAATCTCTATCAAGCCAGTAGTAGTAAATTACAGATTTATTTGGATCCCCATAATCTCAAATGCTGCTTAATATGAAATACAAAAGCATAGACTAAAATTCTTCAATCTGCTGATTTTAGAAGCCTGCCTGAAGTTTAAGATTTAGAGATTACAAGAGACTTCCTTTAATTCTTAACAACAGGTGCCACCATAAAATCAATTTTCAGTATTTGTCCATTACCTTAAAGCAAGCAAGGGCCATCAGATGAACAATTAAAACACTTTCCCAGGACACACATCCCTCGACTGCTAGGGAGCAATGTCTTTGACAGGGTAAACACCATGCCAGCAAAAGCAGGTTGGAGAAATGTCAGCGGCTTGAAGGACCATCGTGCAAACCAAAGCAAGGGAACAAACCTTTCACACTGACACTCATACATTTTTTTTCTCTCCTATCTCATACTTTGAATCATGAGGAGAAACATACTAAAGACTTCAGATACATCACAAGACAGACAGCTAAGCAGCATGACAAAGTTAAAACCCAAGCAAAAAAGGCATCCTCTAGGAAAGGGGACAGAAAGCAAACAGCAGCTACTCTCAGAAGCTACAGCCTGAAGTATGAGAAAGGCAGTGTGAAGCTTTATCAGAAGCAGAGTAGTGCCAAGAGCCCTGGCATGACTAGCACAGCAAGGCTACCTATGCCTATTGCTTGCTACCTTAAGTAAGCAAGTATACAAGCACATCTTACGGAGCTTCATTTCACAAAGCGCCACTTACAACTGAATTGTTTTTAAAGCCATCACTGTCTTGCATTTAAAAAGGGGCAGAATAAAACGTATTGACTAGAGTACCCATCCACACACCTGTGACAGCCCTACATGTTATACATTTGATGCTTTTCACCACACTATCTTTCTCTGTTGTGATCTGTGAATCTGTGATGAGAACAAAAGCCTCAAGAAGCAAGCACCAGACCAAAACACAGGCGAAACACAAAGAAGTACCAGGCTTCTTTTAAGCAGCAGGTACTGAGCAGCTAAAGTTGCAAGTTACCTGCAACTTTGTGAAATGTGAATTCACAAAAATATTCCAAATACCACAGGCAAAAGGGACAGAAGAAAAACCAGAAGCACAAGAAATCACTGACGGATGATGCAGAAAATGAGGACATCAAGATCCAACTATGGGCCTGAGAAAGCCTAGTCAGTGCCCAAGCCAGAAAGGAGAACCACATTATACAGATGCAAAACCAGGAGAATCAGTTTTCAGGTGAGTAAGTGCATTTGCACATACCCAGGAAAACAAACTCTGCATTTCTTTTGCTGTTCAAACTGGTTCCTTCCCCTCAACAATATTTTCTATTTCACAATAGCTGCAGAAGTGATTCATCAGTTAGAATGATCAGAAAGATCGTGCTCCCTTCCCCTGTCAAAGGATAAACATCACTTTGTTTTTGTTTTCAATCTAGTAAAAGTGGACTGGGCTCCCAGTCTCAAGCTAATACTTTAAAATCTGACTTTATTCCATAAAACTGGAGCTGCAATTGTAACAGCAGTAGTTCAGCTGGCAGGTTGGCTATGTGACAGTTATCCTATGTGCTTTCATATGACGACTACTAAAAAAAAAAAAAAAAGGAAAAACGATAAAAATATTAACAGAAAGAAACAAAAGAACAGTTTATCATAGAATCACAGAACAGTTAAGGTTGGAAGGGACCTCTAGAGGTCATCTAGTCAACCCCCCTGCACACGCAGGGTCACCTGGAGCACGTGGCACAGGACTGCGTCCAAGCGGGTTTGGAAGATCTCCAGAGAAGGAGACTCCACAACCTCTCTGGGCAGCCTGTTCTGTCACCCTCACAAGAAAGAAATTTTTCCTTAAGTTTCCTTAAGTTCCTAGTTTCCATGAAGATCTTTTCATACTTCTAAACATTTCTCATTTTTAAGACACTAAGAACTTGTGTGCTAAAGAAATTGCTTTTTAAGTAGGACAAAGATGCAATCTGTACTTGAAGCTTCCATGTACTCTAAAGCACCGCTGAAACCATCTAATATTTAGGAGAGCTGTGTGTTTCTCAAGCGACTCGGGGGCAGCTAGAGCAGCACGAGCTCCTCCTCACCTGCCAGCGCGAGCTGCAGGCCGCTGATGTCCACGGCCTGGGCCATGCTGCCCACGTCCATGGCGGCGATCTGCCGGGGCGTCTTCTTGAAGAGCTCCCGCGGCGGGGCCAGCATCAGCTGCGAGAGGAAGAACTTCTCCGGGGGCGTGATGGGGGGCAAAAACCCTGCGGAGACACAAGCAGGAATAAGCCCGGAGCTCAGGGCAGCAGCAATAACACTTTCAACGCTCCTCACGGGGCAGGGGGGAGGCGGGAAAAAAGAACAGAAGCAGAATGTGAACTCTGCAGCGTTTACCCTGATGCCGGGGCGGTGGGAAAGTGCTCGTGAACAGGTACAAAAGCTGCAGCTACCTGCTCAGCTCCTCAGGTGCAGTGGGATACGACATTACACCTGCTTGACCTACTGGTGCCTGAGCAGGAACCTCAGTGCAGCGCCTGTTGCGGTGCAACACCCAGCACCAAGGCATGGGCCCCGGGAGAGGCAAACAGGGAGCCAGGAGCTCGGCACGCCGATCACCCACCTCCTGCAGCGAGGACCCCCACGCGCACCCCGGACAGGGGCTGCCCCGCGCCCACGGCACCCGTGTTCTCCTCGGGGGCTCCCGCCGCGC